CTCTTCCGACACGGGTTTTTACGATAGAATCGTGGCTTCATGCCTCCTTGGACATATTTCACTGTTCATGTACCGAATACTAATTAGCATCTTAATTTTATTTTATTTTTTCTATTTCAATTCGAGGCATTAATCTAAGACGGGTATCTCGAGTTTATACTTGTTGGTAATTATAAAAACATTATAAAACGAAAATACCACATTTTTATATAATTTATTTTGATTCAAAGCCATATCTTGATTTGCACTGTGATTAATCCTTAGATTAAGTGTATATGAAGCTTCTTTACAACCCGTACGAGACAGGACGGTCATTAGATTCTACAAATCAAGAACTATAATCCATGTTGTAATATTCTAATTACTATTTCGATAATCAAAGAAATACGTTTTTTTTTTATAATAAAAATGTTGGCCTCTTGTCAGAACCCCAACATGGAACCATGTTCTGCATGTCCATAAGCTCTGTGCCCTCTCTGTTTAATGCTTTGATTCTCCATTCGCTTTAGTTTTTTTTATATTTATTTGAGATCTCCATTGCCTCTGCTGCACACGACATTACAGCTCATGTCTTCAGCTTCGTTCTTGAGACCCTCTCTCTCTCTCTCTTTCTCTCTCTCTCTATCTATCTAGTCATATGCTTAAGTACATATATATGCACATATACAAGACGAACATATACAAACACACACATGTGTATATATATCTAGTTATATATGCACACACGCATGTATAATTGTTAACACACTGATTAACATTGATGTAAATGAAACGTATATAACATGTTTTTCGGTATATATATGTCATCCATTCTAAAGGATAAAACCGGATGCTACATGGAAAATAATATTGATAATGTGCGTGCGTTGATATCAATTTTTTTTGTATTTTACATATATTTTTTCATAACAATTATATATATATATATAGATAATAGTACTGGTTTGTTTTCCTATATACCTAGATTTGGACACATTTCATCTAGTCATATTCATTGACTGCCACTAAAAAGAATCTCTAAACAAAATGATAATTAATTAAATTAAAAAAAAGGGAAATGAACCTTAACCATAATTAATACATGGTCTGGACAATGCGACAAACCCCCCATTAATTTATTAAGTTATTATGCACCAAATACATAATAAAATCGCAATTTGAACGTTTTTACCATTTAAAAAATTAAGATAAATACAAAAACCAGCCTGTTTGTAGCTCATCCCCATGTGTGTATATATATATATGAACCCGAACTCCTAGCAAAGTCATCAAACCATATTGAGCTTTCTAACAGGTCTTTGAGAGAGAAAATACTCTTCCTCTTCTTCTTCCTACAGTTCTCGCAATAGAAAGAAAAAAAAAACTAAATCAAACAAAAAAAAATGGCTGTTTGGTCTGCTGAAAACGCAACTAAAGCCTACCTCAGTACATTGAAGATGGTAAGGTGTCTATATATATATCTATATGTATCTCTACTTTAGATTCATTCAGTTATCCATATATCATCGAAGCTTGTTTTCAAAACTTTCAATGACCCATTTGCTATCTGCTCTCGCAGGATCAAAGGACGAAAGAACCAAACGTGGCGGAGTTCATATCGGCATTCGCAGCAGGAAATAACTCGAGACGGATAGTGGTGGCATGTGCGGGAGCAGCCAACCCTGACATGCTCGTTGCCCTAAAAGCCGCAGCTTTCCAAACCGGCGGTCAAGTGGTTTGCATCTTGCGCGGGGTCGAGGAACTGATCATTTCCAAGAAAATCTTGGGATCCTCGGAAGCTCATCAGATTGAGTTCGTGCTCGGGAATTCTTGGGATATGCTGTCAGATCATTTCAGAGAAGCAGACTTTATCCTCGTGGATTGTAACCTCGAGAACCATGAAGAGATCGTTCGAGAGATCGCTAAGGAGGAGAGGACGAGATCCAAAGGAGGGGTGATTGTGGGTTACAACGCGTTTTCGAAAGGGTCGTGGAGGTTTAGCGATGGGAAAAGAACTCAGTTTCTTCCTATAGGAGAAGGGTTGCTCGTTACAAGGATCGGTGACAAAATCAATCAAGCCGCTTGTGGTAAGGAGAAGATGAACATCATCAATGGCGGTCATCGTCATCATCATAATCATGTGAGGAAGAGTCATTGGGTAGTGAAGGTCGATAAGTGCACGGGCGAAGAACACGTGTTTAGGGTTAGGGTTCCGCAAGGTGAAATCATCGAGGCTTGATGATTAAGAGAATTTGGTGATTATAAATTTGGGGTCATCACCTTTTGTGTTTATTAGTAGAGTTTGCACTATGTTCATTTTGTTTAGTAGTGGGTTCACCTCCGTCATCGGAAAATTTAAGCCGATGATTAAGACGAGTGACTAGGATTTTATAAGAGTTTGCGTGTTCTCAATCTTCTTTTGTACCAAGAATGTTTAAGTGTAAGTATAGCTATAAAGCCCTTCAAAATCTATAATTTCCAATCTTTTTGGAAGTATTTCAAGTACACACACACACACACACACACACATATATATATATATATACACACACACACACACATATATATATATATATATATATATATATATATATATAACCAATATGAAGTGGCAATAGCCCAAATGGTAATAAGTTGGAGAATATTATATATATGGCTCTTTAAAAGAATTTTGTTGTTATTATTCTTCTAATTTTATTTTGTACAGGACAT